AGACTGGTAGAGATCTCACTACCAGACTCAATGAACACCGAGCCCACGGACGACGGGGGGATCTCGAGAAATCTGCCATCATCAAATACTCCAGCACTGAAGACCACCAAGTCCACTGGCAACAAGCCCATCTCATTGCCAACATAGAACAATGGCATCCACGTCGTGTTCGTGAGGCAATTGAGATTCACAAGAACAGAACAGTTCCGCAAGACACGGGCTTCATCATCAGTGACATCTGACCCCCATCCTCAACCCTTCTTAGTTCGCCTTATGGGTCATCTATACCCTTGGCACCCTGCCCCAGTTCTTCCTTTAGTCTGCCTATGGGTCCTCTATACCCTTGGCACCCATGTTTACCCATCCACAGCCCCATCAGTACTGCCACACGTGAGTAAGTTTACCGCCCCGCATCACCGAGCTAGCCTAATCCCTTCTCCAGAGTTCCCGACTTCACGCATCATCGGACTAATCCCTGTCTCCAGAATCCTCCACCAGACTACTTAAACCTCCACTCCCAGTGAGTATCCGGCATTCTCCTGATGACGAGCAGAGCATACTGCTCGAAACGTCGAGTACCACTGGTTCTTTTCAGAACCGCAACTACTCACAAAAGAGATACGTCCATGGTGCTACCGCAAACCTACTTTCTATAATAAACCACAAACTTATTTGTAAAGTGACGTATGCAAGGCACACGTGATCAAACCAAAGTGCTACATTTTTTGAGTGTGGTAACTTTTAACTGTCAATTACAATGTACATGTACGTGACACACTTATGAATAACAAAAGAACTGGTACCGTGTATGTACTGTACAAATCCCGCTGGCTAGTGGATAAAGCTTCGTAATGTTAAGTGACCAATGAAAATGATGGATGAGTTCTGCCGATCTTTAGGTCTGGGGTGCTGAAGTTGACTGCTTGCATCAATACCATCCAAGATGGCTTCAACTGGTGCAAAACCCGTCATTAAGGACCACGACAAGTGGGGATGGGTAATGGTAGCGGCAGCATTTGTCAACTGTTTTGTAATCTATGGTCAGCTGAAAGCGCTGGGCGTCCTGCTTATTCCGATAAGCAACGACTACAATTGTGACCTGGGGCTCATCGGCTGGATCGCAGTTCTGTACGGCATGGTGCAAAACTGTATCGGTAAGGACATTTTTCATTTAAGAGCTCATTACATGTATTTGAGTCTGAGATAAGCTAAATAATACATGGTGCCTTTGTCCTATGGCCAGTTGCTGTTTTGTGGTCAAATCAGCTTGAATGGGACCATTTAATACGGCCATTTTACTACAACCATTGAAATTGCAGGGTTTTTTTCGATTCATCATATTTTCACTGTTTTTGCTTGCAGTTTTAATCTGTCCTTTAGAGCATTTTGGGTTTTATGCTAACACACAAATCTTCAAGACTATGTTGTCTAGCACCTAAACCTCAATGGTGCATTGATTTGAACTAAAAACTGCCAGTATTTTTATAATTTAATTGTAGTAAATTTCCATTCTTCGGCAGTCTATTGTTACTTAAATACTGTGGTAATAAACCAGCGGCAACCTTTTCTCAGAAATGTTTTCGAAGAACCAGTTTATGGCTAAGGATTTGAACCTAGAAACATGTAAGCTGAACAGTGGACCAGCGTCTTAATTCCCTAATTTACATCGCAGATGCAGCACTCTTAGTTGTCCGAAAAAGCTTGAAAAGTTAATTTTTCTGTACATTTAACTCCAAAACGCTTTTTCGACAATTTTCATACATTGAAAAGGAGCACAAAGCCGCTCAAAAAGGAAGTCTGAGAAGCACTCATTGCACGGGATACTTTGAACAAGAGAGATGACCTGAAAAACATTATTTGTGACTTAACCCCCCCCCCCAAGTAAAAGATTTCTTTCTTTCACTCTGGGTTCTGTTTTGTTTTAAATCAAATGCCAGGAAAGTATAAGATAAATTCTTGTGCACTTGTTTGTCTGAAATACCTAGCACCTGTCGTAGCAGCACTCGCCCGCTTTCTGGGGAGTAGTCGCATGATGATGTTCGGTGGACTTCTCAACGCTGTAGGTATCATCCTAACGGCGGTGTCACCCTCAGTTCCACTGTTCTCCATTTTTGTGATTGGAATGGCAGGTAAAAGACGTCTTTTAGAATGCCCATACGTGAATGGTCAATGCCCATGTACGCACCATTCGTGGGGCAAGAATATAATGCCCGTTCTTGTCCTGCGAGAATGGTGGTTACGGAATGGCATGAGCCACCACGTACATCCCTTTTGTCCAAGCGTTCCAACATTTTGTGCGAATTGAGCGTCCTTATTTTATACAAAGTACAACTTGTTTGTTTTTATTAAGTCCAAATTCCTCACTGTGATATAAATGACTGGTAGAAAATCACTTTAGAGTGCAGGCTGTAGTGGGGTATAGGCCTTTCTTAGTATTTATGCACTTTTTGTGAGCTGGAACTGAAAACGAGGCTGTAGGGGACTTCGCGCGAACATGGCGAACATGGCGAAACATGAGAATCATGCAAGACTATTTTTCTCCTGCCCGACCAAATATATCGAAAAGACTACATCCAGCAAAACCCATTGTGTCCCCTGCGAGACGAGAATTTTCATGCGATACCAGGCTGCCCTTCAAGGTCCAAATTTCTATGCAAGATCAGGTTTGTTATGCCCAAGTTGGTTTTGCACGAAAATTTGGCCTTGCTTGTGAATGTAGTGTTGTTTGAAAACCTTTTGTTTTGCTCGATCAAAACAGCAACGTCTTACATCATAAAACTTTGTCTTGCGAGGCAATTCTTGTCATGCAGGACAAGTTTGATCCTGCACAAAAAAATTAATCCTTGCATTGAGGAAAAAGGTCATGTATGAGCATTTTGGTCTTGTTCAAAAATAGGTCTTGCACGAAATTTGTGGTCTAGAAAATCACGAAGATAAATACATGTAGAAATCTTGTTTGCGTTGGATAAAAAAAGGGTTTTGAAGTTATTCTGTTTTCGCTTTCCACAACAAATCACAGCCGTGATGGGGCGCTTTTTCGATGCTTGGTGGCAGCCAGCAAACCGTTTCTAAGCAGTCCCAAATTGTTTCGTCACGTCTCCTAAGCTAAGTTAATGTGTCCGTGCTTAAGATGACCCCGACAGTAACTGACTGGTGACACTACTCACGAGCTTCTCTGTAAATCATCTGATTGAGTAGGTGTTAGACATATAGGCTGGGTTCAAAGTATTCGTTGCTACTTGAAATTACGCACGAGTGCTATGATTGTGGCTGACTACCCATAGTGTCGTGTGGAGTTCCAAGCCTCAGCCAAGTGATTCGGACCCAGCCTTTACCAGCTCTCATTCCGTAAACTGGAACTGGAGTGTTTGCCGCCACCAACTGTCTACAAGGTCTTCAATAATTGGAAGACCGGAGGATCAAGATGTGTCCAAGGATGTCACAGAAACATCCGGACTTGTAGCGCCCGTAATCGGCCCACATAGGTCTTTGAAGCCACCAGCGGTCATTTTACCATGTCAAATAATATGAAGGCTCTTCGCTGTTATGAACCAAATCTTTCAACAAGTTACAATGGCACGCTTGGCAACAATCATCTTTCCCGCATGGTAAGATGGCTGTCGGGGCATGGCATCACTCGGTATAAGAGCATTGCGATCCCAGATTTTTTTCCCCGATGCAGAGGAAATCACTTCAATACCGGTACCGGATTTAGGCCTAAATGAAATAAAAACATGTTCAATGTAACGTCAGACTGTAATTCCAAGTACCCGAGTTTTGTTATCTTGGTTCTTAAAAGAAATTATGCACTTTTACCACTTTAAGATCGATGCCAAACTGAACGGACTCTTCTGAGTTCCTTGAACTACATAATTATAACTGTACGTCTGGATGATTTTGTTGTGCAGGTGTGGGGTCTGCTTTCTGCTGGTACATTGGTTTTGCTGTAATGGCCTCATACTTCAAGGAGAAGTATCCATTAGCCATTGGAATATCGACAATGGGTGAACCCATTGGTATGATGTTTTACGCGCCCGTTACCCAGGTACTTTTTAACACCTACGGTTGGAGAGGATGCTTACTCTTACTGGGAGCTCTCTCGGCCCACATGGTTGCGAGTGGCCTGCTGGTTCGACATGATCCATCGAGGCCTACTTTGCCAGACAGTGATGAGGAGTACCAATATGTGGCTGCCAGGGATGAGGAGGAAATCAGCGAGGAAGAGGGTGCTGTCGGTGGCGAGCAAGCCGAGCCCTCCCAGCAGAGAAATGGTTCAGATCCCGACCTTTCTCAGAGGAGCTGTTTCAAGCGCTTTGTCAAGGCAATTGACTTCAGGGTGATGGCAGATGTCAGGTTCGTTTTGCTGATTTGTGGGAGATCTACGGCCACGTTTGCATTCAGCGCATGGTTGGTGTTCATGGTGGCGCAAGGGCAGTTCCAGGGTCTGAACCAAGTTCAAGCGTCATTTCTTCCCACTGCGTTTGGCGTTGGTAACATTGTTGGCAAGTTGCCAATGCCCCTTGCGCCTAAGATTGGCATAAAGCCATCCATGACATCCTGGGCGTGCTTTGGAGCAGCCTTGGTGTGTATATCTTTCCTGGGGGTCGCCGCCGTTCAGCAGGCTTTTGTTGGACAGATACTTCTTACGGGACTGTCGGGATTCGGTTACGCAATATTGTATCAAGCTGAGGATGTGATGGTACGGTTTCTGTCAAGTGATGGTCGGTTAGTGAGTATGCTCAGCTGGCAGGGAATGCTTACGAGCATAGCTGGGGCGCTTGGTGGATTGATATCAGGTTTGAATTGTCATTTTTGCTTTGAAAACCTCTACGGCCTAGTTTCCATATCGGCAAAAAGAGACGCAGAGAGCGCCACCGAACAGTATGGAGTTACATATATACGTGCGAAGCTATCTCGACCCATATAGTCGGGAAAGTTGATCATTTTCAAATTTGCCAGCTCTGTCCTTCAGAGTGGGCGGCTACAGATACGCGTGCTTGCATGCACGCCCCTCTCACTTTGTACCAGGCATTTTAATGTGTGTGTGTGCTGCCAACGATGGTTTTAATTCATTGCATATGGAAACTAGGCTTCACTTAATTGTTTGTCTAATTGACCGATCCAGTAAGCCCCACCCACTGCGTACGTGGCCACTCTGGTACTCTTCTGCAATACCACTCTGCGTGCTTCAGCCGCTCGCATCATACGCGCGTACGCTCATGTCGGACTTCTGTGCACGCATGGTGGACATTAATCACGGCTGTGATTGGTCAGACAACGGGGGGCTTAATGGATTGGTCTATTACTGATGCCAGTGAAGTGAATGCTAGTGAAATTTAATGATTAAAAAACTTCAAAGGGCCGTGATAGACACTTTAGTACCTCCCAAAATGTACTGAAACTATCTGACAACCCGTTTAGGTGGAAAGCGCACGCTTTTCACAAATGGCAATTTTGTCTTAGTTTCAATGACAATGAGGGCGCTGTTGCGACGGTAATAGTTTTGGAAGACATTTCATTTTTTTTATTAGATAACATCACACTTTTGCTGAGTAATAGGTAGTCCGCACTCAGTGAGCTACAGCTTCAATTGATTATCTTACTTCAAACTCAGAGTAACCCAGTACAATGTGACGGTAGCGTGTCACGTGCCACCCAAAGACAAATGATTAAAACCTATTTTCCTGTATGCAAATTTCGATGCACCGATTCTAAGCACATCCGACAGTTATTGTTACGTTTCTTTCACGAAATGTTTTTTTCTTCTAAATTTTATCAAAGGTTGGGTTTTGGAAAGGACGGGTTCTTTCCTGATATCCCTGGGCATGTTTGGTGGTGCAGTGTTCCTATCAATTCCCCTGTTCATCGGAGAGGCTATCTACACTGAGCGGAGAGCACACTAAAGGAAGGAAAAATGCTACCAAGTTTTGAACATAATGACTGTACAGTAAAGTGTCATAGGGCTTGTAAACTTTTCACTTTTACCAGCTAGGCTTGAACGTGTGCATTGCCTGGTGTAGGCTTTGAGCTATCTTGCAGAGCAGTTCTTTTGTTCCACAGGGACTTCTGTTGTTTGGAAGCAGTACCTACAGCTTTGGACAGTCTGGTGTAAAATATAAAGATCACGTTAATCCAAGAGATGATCAAGTCAGGTCACGAAAATGTTAACCTGTGAAAACACAAGACTGACAGTAAATGTATGGAAGAGTTAACAGCAACACGTGATTTTCACACGATACAAACCTATACCCATTTCGCAATTGCAGCGCAACACTGCTGTGGTCTCTCTCCTGATACCTCTTCGCATTTGCCCATTACGAACCGTTTTCGGTCGAAGGAGATCTCTCCAGAAAGACCTCTTTGAACGCATCATGAGCAGCTAGGTATAGCTTCTTGTCTGTAGGAATTTCTTTACCACAATATCCCGTTGCAACTCTCAATTTTTCTAGACTGTCCTGTACAATATACCAGGCTCTTACTGTCAGAAACATGAATAAGATGACACAGTAACTGGAATCGCAACCTAACCCATCAGAAGCGAGCTACGATTTGGTAACTGATTTCACAAACTGCCTTTTGAAACAATTATAGATGTCAGTGATGTATGGCAAGAGAAATGTATCACTAAAAAGCTTACTCGACCAAGTGTGATACTTGTAAAGTTATCCCACAGGTAACATGCAAACGTAACCTAAACTTTTTACAGTATTCTAAAAGTGGACAGTATTTAGATATTTGTAGAAAATACTGGCTTGAAATTGTTATTATTGAAATTATTTTGGTAACCATTTTCTGTTGTAACATGCACCGAAGCTTGGTCCTTAATTGCTCCATCGTCCAAATCTAAACAGAAAACAAATTCATGGAACATGAAAAAAGTCATTCATTAGTCTTTGTTGACATAAACCGTCTCATTGCTCATTCATCGTCTTGAGCTGTTGGCTTCGGAGTGAGTAACTTGTACTCGGAGAACTCGTTTGAAATGTTCTCGTCGGAGGTGCAATTTTTTTTTATTTATATTACTGTTAAAATTTTTAAAAACCGCCACCCCTTGATGTTAGTACAGCCTGCTGTTGGATATGCCGATGGTGATTGATCTTTGAGAACTCTAAAATGGTCTTGAAGACCTTATTTTGATTGATCTTACAGGGCGTTCAGTATGTTATCAGTATTGATCTGATAGGGCGTCGTCAGAATTCAGTTCTTGGTCAGAAAATAGAGAGCTCAGATCGCCTGGAATGCGTTCGAAAACAAGTCAGTTGTGCTCATTTTACCCCAATGTAGTTTTATGGGCATGTTTGTTGTAAAGACCAGTGTTTCAATGATATCACTTATTAACCCCTACAAACAATCACGAGATCCATTAATCGGTTCGAATAGTATATTTTTTATTTGTTACGTAGCACTGAAACTTTGAATTTTAAGGAAGGGCTGGGCCAATTGCTCTCAACGTTTGCGTCCTTCCACGTGATGCCGGTTCGCTCGGGCAGATCTTGATTAAATTCATATTGGCTGTGTTTCTTGGGATGTTGCATGAGCTTCTTAGCTCAATGTCTCGCGTCGATGCCAATGGGAGACTTAAAGACGCTGGTGGCAGCAGACATACCTTTTTCTGTGGTTTTCACATTTATTTTCATTAAATATCCGAGGAATCATCATTATCCGAGGAAGATCACATACACAGGCAAGATGTTGAAACCTCGAGAATTTATCTCAGGATGGCGGCATACTGAAAGTAGAATACCGACGTCCTGAACTAATTTTTTAACAGACGAAAGCAAAAGAGAAAACAACCAAAAACGAACAAAACAAAAACACCAGGCAGTTATTTTCTAATTAACGAACTTTATCTATTTTACACCTACAATGTATTAACAGACACAATTAGTTGTTCAAAATTTGCTTACTTCAAGGATAGAAACTGACATTAGCAAAGTCAGTGGATCATCTGATCCAAATAAGGATTAAAAGCACTTTGGAAATGTGCAGATTAACAAGGACGACTGCACGCACCTGCGGACTTGTTCAATGGGAAACGTGATACAGTATTGGAGCCACTTTGCAAAGAAAGCCTGTAATGATAACTTGTACATGTGCTTCACAATGGTATGGCAGGAAAGCAGAAAACACAGTTATGGACCATGTTAGAATCAATCAAAATAAACGAATCAAATGAAGATCTGGAGGGTCGTTTACAGGTGACAAAATGATGCTAGGCACTTACAACAGCCCTAACAGTCCCTAATTCTCTGATTTTAATATTTTACATACACCCTCAGCATTTAGGGCTAAAGGAGTAAGAGAAGTTATTAACTTATCAGGCAGTGCGAGCAGCACATATTTTACTACTGTAATGACTTCTAGGGCCAACATTATGAAGTTCAGATCAACTAATTTTTTTCCATTAGGGTGTGCAAAGCTTTCCCTGGGAAATTGAAAAATGTACATGTATTTGTTCATATCTGCACAGAATCAGATGCACACGTATGCACTGTCTGTTGATCTTTATAAAGTCTAGTTTGAGTGAAATTTATTTCCTACTGAATTTTCCAAATGATGAATGAAAGCTCATAACACCACCATAGGTCTTAAAGAGATGCCCTTTTTATTGTCTACTAAATGAAATGACTGTGGAAACTCTGTGTTTCTTCAAAACAGTCAAGTTGTTTTGAACCCAATAAACTGTGGTTAAACAAACTGGTCAAACTGTGTCTATTTAATCTTTGCAGCCAGTTTTCAACTTTGTTACATGCTTCATGGACATTAACACTGGTTGCAATGGCCAAAAAAAATCGGAGAAAGTGGTTCTCTCAATGCAGGGTTTGAGATGACAATCTAGCCGCTTAATTTTTCAGCCGCCTCCATTCCATCAGACGGGGCACTGGGGCCAACCTCAGTCTGTTCCTTCTCCCAGGCAGACCACTCACCGTCCAAACCCGCCGGGAGTGCAGGCCCAGTGGCGTGGCTCGCAGGCGCCTCCACGAAGGCCTCATCAAAGGCTGCCAGGTTGAATTCGCTGTGGCTGGCGGGCAGAGCTGAACTTGCCCTTGTGCTACTCCCCTGTAGGCCTGAACCCATGGCTACTGCCTGTTCTGAAGGAGTTTCTGATTGGGCCTTGGACTCCTCATTCTGTCCCTCGGGGCCGGCCCGGATCTGCCGGCCGCGCCGCTTGCCCAGGATTTTGATGTAGTTTGCAGGGACCAGGCCCGTGGACTGACCATCCACGCTCGCCAACACCCACCCCCTGACTTTGGGCTGCATCTCTGTTTAAAAGAAAAACAGGCTCAAAATCCAAGTGAAGATGGTTGACTGGAGAGGAATTTCTAATCTGTGATGCTGGCAATTCCTCTTCCTACTGTGTCTCTCAACTCTCTTTTGCAAATTTCACTTGACCCAAATGATTTGATAGGTGTGTCAAGCCCAATGGCAACCACACTAACTCGTCTTCAATTCCGACTCATTCAGAGTCACATTAATATCTGCACGGTACATTCTGCTCTACTAGAAGCAATAAGAGTGGGTTGTGATTGAGAGCTTTTTGTTGCCAACCTGCACATACCTTTGGGTGCTAGGTTCATCATTGCACCTGCTTTGAATGAAAGCTCATTGCTTCCCTCTGCATCAAAGTCAAACTCTGCCCTGGCCACCACATGATCGTCCTCGCCACTAGCCCAAGCTGGTTGATCTATTTCAAGTAAATAAAAAAAACACCATTTGTAATGAGAAATATGGAAGGCAATTAGTTTGTTGAGGCGAGTGTGTCATTAAGTTCTGCTTCAAAAGGACTGGAACTTCTAAGTCTTGTGAAGTGTAAGAGGAAATGACTTCACCTTGTGAGTCATTCTCAGCAGAGGACAGCAGCTTCCAAATGATGTAAGGTCCACCGACAACCACTGCAAAGAACATGAAAATGGGCCAAGAGGGCGCCCCCGGTTTCTTCTGCCCGTTAACCTTCTCCAGTTCCCCAGTCCCTGCTCCTTGTGCTTCCTTCCACAGCTCCTCTGCAAACTCTCGGCTCCGTAAGCCCAAAAACACCAGCAGCCGCCGGTACAGGTAGCGCAGTGTTCGGAAGAGGGCCAGCGCAGTGAAGATGTGGGCCAAGTGGACTTTTAGCCGGGAGAAGTGGTCGGCAACGCCCAGCACGGCCCGGAAGCTGTTGTAAACAGTCTGTAGGGTGGACTCCATCATCATGCTGATGGAGCCAAAGGCCTGGACAATGCTCTCGATGGACTGGAAGGCCGGCCGGCTGTTCTCCTCTGCCTGGCGGAGGAACTGGTTGAAAGCTCCTGGGTCCCCACCACGGCCAAACTGCCCTTGTCCGTAGTATCCCCCTCCCCCAAACATGCCCCCTCCACCGTACAAACCCCCTCCGTACAGGCCGCTGCCTCCGTACATCCCACCATAGCTGCCAAAATTGTTCCCAAAGCCTCCATAGCCACTGCTGTATCCAAAGCCACCATACCGATTGAGAGGGGAGCCGAACCCTGAACTCTGCTGTGATGGACGGGATGGTAATGGTGGTGGCGCCCTGGAAACAGCTGGCCCAGAACCCGATGATCCAGATAAGGCTAGACCAGATGATGACGAATGTTGATTGACTGGCCCTCGTCTGAATGAAACGGTAACACAATGTGAAAAAATTTAAGCCTCTTAAAAATTCCACGCACCTGAAGTTTAGAAGTACTTTTTCAAGTCCAAACCAATGGGAACAATGTCTTGATAAACTTGTAACTAATACTACTGTTACCAGTGGTGTAACCATAATTATGATTCCCAGATGAACACTGCAAATGTGGCATTGGGAGACAATAGTGTTAGGCCCTACCGCATTCTTCTCTTAAAATCCTGCTGAGTGAGCATATCTGTCTCGTTACATGTACATGTAGTTAAACTGAACCATTTTTAAGGATCAACATGATGAATATAATTAAAACCGAACATGTTCAAATCCAAAGGCTGATCAAAAGGTCGGAAAGACTTTCATATAGGGACACCGCAAGGCACCCTGTACAGGGACTTGGAAATCTGCGACTACGCGACAGCCATATTTACCCATCGCACTAGCGTGTGATGCCATTCCCAGGTTCGCCGGATGCCTGAAACAGCTGCCTTTTTCATGGGTGATCCAGTGGTAATCTGCTCAGTATCACTTCATGTTCTTGTATTGTAGAGGGAGAGTTCGCCTTCAACCTTGTACTGAAATTTGTCACTTTTGCTTTTTTTCATGACGCTGCAGTAGTTTAGAAATATGGTTCATGTTCGGCTGATTTTTTTCCTTATGATAAACCTCCGTGACTGAAAACACAGTTAACTACAGTAAACTCTAAGTCGGCATCGCGTAACTCGTCATATCGTCTAAGTCAGCCTTTTGACAAAAGTCCTGATCGTCTGTAATGCATTTCCATTGAAAATTTCATTTCTAAGTCGGCATTTATAAGTCGTCATTTTGTATAAGTCGGCAAGTTTTCTCGGTCCCTTTTCCACAAAACCACAAAAATTCCTTTGTGTAGGTAGGCATTAAAAAAAATTTGTGCTTTGGCATCAGTTTCCTTCGGCGTGGTTGCCAAGAAGTGTCAAGTGACAAGTCCCACACTGACTGCTTGACTGATGTCTGTTTATTAGCAGCCCAGGCGTGGTTGATATAAACTGCCACTGGTGAGGAATGTATGTGGTTAGTGGGGGTTCATTACTTTTAGCACCGTTCCTATTATAAGGGAACAAATTCTACTTTTTTGAAATGACTTATCTGAACAAGATGTTGGTAATGTCCTCAATCATATCAGAAAGAAAAAAGAACAGGGCTTTTGAGGGACATTTTAGGGCAAAGCGGCAGCGTACTGCAAAGAGCTGTGAACGACAAATAAGCGAATGTAGTCTGATTCCTTGACTTGGGTGAAGATTTGTTTCCATGAATCCAAACGCCTGGGTCATGTAACCAGACGAAAAAAAGAAAATGGCGTGATTCAACTGAGTGGTTGTCTTTTGCCAAACTCGGGTTAGGAATTTGGAATTTTCTTGCTAAAATATTGTGAAAAACTAGGCCTATCAGAATTGGGTAATGGTTCCTTAAGGTCAAAATGTTAGTTAGTTTGAGAAAGTGGACTTTGTTTCCTTATTATAGGAACTGGGTGCTAATGGTATTATGAACCCCGATTAGTGTGGAACGGAGTCCAGCGAAACGGCACCTCTACAGTTTATATCTGGAAGCGTGTAAAAGTTTGTTTTCAATCAGTGATTTCTGCCCTTTTTGTGCATTTTTTAAAAAGCAGTTGTGTTGTAAAAGGACCAAAATTTGTGTTAGAACCACTTATTATGTCTGTTTGTGTCGAGTTTTGGGTGTAAAGTGTGATGAAAATAATGTAAGATTGGAGCCACTTACACTGCGTCAAAAACTGTGTGCGGCCATCTTTGTTTGTTGTTGTGTGACAAAGTCTCGTCTAAGCCTAATATCTCGCGAGTCTCAACCAGGTTTGGAACAATGTGAGTGTGCTGTTGAAAATCCCCCCAAACGTGATGAAACATATATGAAACGGTGTTTATTTGGAAGCTTGGAATTTCAGGAAGAAAAGGAAGTTTTTTTTGTCAAAAAGTGATGTCGAACTGGTGCTAAACAGCCTCTTTGTATTGGGGTGCTGTCGAGCAACTGTGCACATATGGTGTATGTACATGTATGTGCATCAGATTGGTGCATGGTGTAAGGGGAACAAGATGCAAATAACAAGCGCATAAACCACACGTTGTTTCTATCAAATGTTATCAAAAGATCCTCTCAAACACGAACAGACTTTAACTTATGACACCCGAGAGACTTGGTCCCTTATTTTTATAGTTATTTATTGATGACAGAATATCACATCAAAACTATGTTTCAGTGATCTTTCACACATCACTAAAAATTTCAGGCCCAACTCAACTGACCTGTTACTGTATACATGTACATGTATCCTGTGTTTATTATTGATAAAGTTCTCCATAATAAAAGATATTGTTTACTTTACACTTCCTCTGTGACTTAACTACAGATCTTTGTCCACCTCTGGCATGTCTGGAAGTGGAACCGATGAGGAATAAGACTCCATGTGGTTGAAATACATTGATGAAAAGAAACTTGTGCCCACCCCAAAAAGTGACAGACTGATTACACCTATTTTTAATAACAAAAACTTCATAACTTCACTATACTTGCAGCTATTAAGCCAAATTTTATACCATTCAATTTCTTTTGAAATTACCTTTCCAATGGTACTAAAATTGTGGGGGTCAAATAAAAAAAGCTGAAAAGTGCCGGACTCCCAAAGTGTGATTCCCTGACCACAGATTTACCAGACGTCTCTAATATTATTATAGGGTCTTCAGGGGAAGATATCCTTAAGGAAGCACAAACGGATGTTTTATCTGGTACGATTGCAGGGCAGCTTTCAAAATGCTGTAGACTAGCGTGCGGAACCATCAAAAATGTGTAGTGCAGTGAGGCCTCGTGCGTTACTGTTTAGCACGTACTCATGAACGCATTGGGTAGGCCCTCCTATTCAACGATTATGCTGTATGCACCATTAAATCATGTGAAAAAATGGCACTGGATCCCACTTCATTTGGCTTGAGGAAGTGAACATATATTCCACATTCGACTGTAGATCGTAAGACTTACCCAAAGTCACCGACTGACGAGAACGAACTATGATTGTATTGGCCGGCCCCTCGCTCCCAAGGTTTCTGTGGGGCGGCCATTTTGATATTATGTACCATAGAGTTTCCCAAACAGAGGCTGCGCTCGCTGTCCGTGGTTTAAGCGCACTTCTTGTGAAATTTCTCGCACGATTTGAAATCTTTTAGGGTTAAGAGAGTTCCGTTTACAGCCAAAGAAGTATCATATCGTCTCAAATGAGTAAAATTTCTAATCTAATTTTATTCTAATACATTCAAATTAATTATGTATTTCGATATGGATCCGCTTTAGCGATAATGCCTTGATTTGATAAAAGGAGTGCAAAGGTAACAAGACGAGGGCGTTTTCCAAGTGTACCTAGCCGGCCCCCTGTAGGGATGCGTTCGAGCAGAAGTGTACTCTTACACCCGAGTGTAATGCGCAGGCAAGCATCCTGGTCGTGTCAACAGGAGTATCCGCTCGAACGCACGAAGATACGTACATGGCTAAAGAGAGTTGCGACATGAATGTCTCAATGGTTGGAACCAACATGGTGGATTGTGTGTCAGTGCACATGGACAATTAGCATATGTACATGTACAATATCTGCATGCTGTACTGCACACATAATGACAGCCAATTTTGGTTCCAAAGTCTGAAGTTGGCGTACTCAGCTCTGCTTGGTTTCGTCCTTGTATGGCATTGTCTTACTCTGCCCCCTCCATTTGAGCACAATAAAAGTTCAAGTTTTGCTGCAGAATATCGAACTGGCCCCCCGAAAAAGCTGGGATAATACAGGTGATTCACAATAGTGTGCCTCCAAGAATTTGCTACGCGTTGGCCAATCACAATCCGCAAAATCAGTCAACCCTTTCCAGATGTGCATTAGGTCTGCAACTTTCGCACATTATGATCGGCCAGTGTATTGCAAACTCTTGGAGGGGCACTATTGTGAAACGCCCACATTGCAAAGTCGTTTCCCTGCTAACCAATCCAAATACATACATGTACTTGAAACAGAAAAATGTGCTTGGTGTCTTTCATGACCAACTTCTCTGGAGATTGAGTTAGTGATCTTGGACATTCAGGCTGTTGTTGCAGGAGATAGATCGAGGTTTTGCTTTTTGGGATGTTTGAATTTTGTAATCACCCCCCGGCCCCCCACACACACATTTTTGGCCGTCTTGGTCTTTAATTGAAAATCCAGAATCATTTTGGGTGTCATTTGTTGGGAAGGGGGTAGTTTTGAAAACTGGAAACATCTTTATAAGCTTTCTTAGGCACACATGTAAGGCTAACTATGAGGGCTCTTCATTTACCATTGTATGGAAGCGTGTAAGGGCCACTTGCAAAAATTTGTTTTCGAGTTGATATCTTGCTGCAGTGAGTTACTACCTCGCCACGGCGAGTGGCCCTTACTTTTTCTGTTCCGTACCATTGAAATGAAATAAAGTGAAAAAGAAACCAAAATGGTCTGCATTAAAAGTAAAATTAAAAAAAGAAGACAGAAAATATTTTTGTGAGAAGGTCCCACTGTCCCCCTAAATCCATCAATGAACACAGTTATGCCCAGGAAGCAGAACATTTCAAAATGATCGCAGAAATTTATTCGGAAATTACATGTACAGGCAAAAATTGACTTCACAGGTGACAAATGTGTAACTTACATAAAATGTATACTTGTGCATGTATCTGTGAATCTCTAACAAATCTGAAAGGTGACCTCATTTTGTTTAATGATGAAAAAAAAGACAGTTAAGCGTTTTCCTTCAAACTGGAGCAAGAGTCGTGATTAATGCAAAGAAAAAAAGGGGCTTTCCTAAGGGCTCATCCACAATTTTCACAGACACGAATTATTCACATCTCATTTCATATTCCATTCAAAACTCTCGACAAATAATTGCGAAAAGGGGAAAATAAAAGTCTACAACTCGTGTGCTTGAAAAATCCACCGATGGCCGCTTGTGGAATATCTGGCTGCTGTTGATGTCTGTGTTGATCATGTATGTGCTGAAGGCACTCAGCGAGCTTAGGCGTGGGCAATTCTGAGAATGTTCTGCTGACTGGCGTCGATGCTCGAAGTACTCCGCAGGGATTCTTCATCTTGAGCAGTTCTATATTGTGTGAGGTTTCCATGTTAATGTCGGGTAGTGGAGGGGATTGCCAATTTACCGAGTGGACGACAACATGCATATCTACAGTGTTTGCTGTTTGATAGCGTGTTCAGCTGCGTAGAATCGTATGTTCTGGGTACATCTGCACAGAGACACTGTGGCAAACTGAGGTTTTGCATTTTTGATCTGTGGAAGGAAGAAAGAAAGATCTCAAAAATCCAACTCACTATGTGTGCGCTGAAGTTGGTAAACTTAACTTATGTACTCAGTGCATCCTTACCAATCCAACCCTAATTCCTGCGGCAGGTTTTATGACACTTACCCCTTTAGTGCTACTGCATTTACGGGGGGTGGGAAGGTTGCAAATTTTGAGGAGATTGAGAAAGACAGAGCCCAGCCACCATCTCTTCACATCGGGAATAACATTTCTGGAATGTCTTCCCGAGCTTTTAGTTTTAAACACTTTAATTGCATACTTGCAGAGGTTTTTGGAATGGTACAAAGTATTCTGGAATGAATGGAAAATGAGTCCTTATGTGACAAAATTCATTGTGTTCATAGCCGAAAAATCAGAATCCCACTGCCCCCGAGAACGGATCATCAAAAGGTGCTACGGCATAACTTGGACTCATAGGCATGTCAGTGGTTCATTCTTAAGGGCAGATTTGCGAGGGAAAGGCCCGTATGCACTTGCCTTGGTTTTGTGACAACTTGCGTCACAGTGGAGATTTCTCATTCTTGCTTCGACTTGGGATTGTTGACGGTCACAAAGTGGAAAAGTACCACCAGCAGGAACAGGGACACGCCCAGAATGTTGGCAAATATGGCGAGTTGGACGTCAGTGATCATCCTACAAGGAAGTCAGAAATAACAATTTAAGCAAAGAACACAAAAAGGCCACAGCCTCGTGGTGTTGCTGCTTAGATAACAAGAACTCATCTGAACAAATGGTAAAACAGTCCCATCAGGGTTTTTGGCAGGATTTGAAAATGCTGGAGCGCACTGGATAAAAGGGGGGGGTGCATCAGGTAGAGTGCCGAATTTGTGTGCTAAGGTGCACAACACCGGTGCGCAGTGTAAAATTCCTCAACAGCCGGGGGCCAGAGCCTGCTTGAAGGCCCTAGAATTCCTGGTTGCTTAAGATGGTCTTTGAGGCATTCCTGATACCTTTTCAGATCAGTCAATTTGCACGATTGTTCGATCTTTGCGTGATCTCTCTATCTCTCTCTTATTATACAATTTGCTAATACATGTAATTCTGCCATAAGCCTTTTCGTACCCCCTTTTCTTTGCAGTCTGCAGTTGTGCAAATGGATGTATTTTGGCCGTTCGTTTTGTAAGGTCAATGTGGGACCTGTTGTCTTTGGGCACATGGGGTTGTTGGAAATTTCAAATAATTATGAATTATTAATTCTGAAATAATTATGAATAACTATGACTTGAGTGGAAAGATCACCAATACGTCCAAACTTATATGAAGCCCGCCATGAGAATTTTGTATGAATGTGATGCACTGATCTCACATATTGTACCGTTCAGTTACATGAGTGGACAGTTACATACATGTACATCTAGCAAAGCATATGTCATAGAAGTGCACAAGCTCATTGGCAGGTGCACCAGTCTCTTACCCCAAATATTTGTGAAATGAACAATTCAGTATTTGGCCAATCTGTTCTTTGCAGGTTCCTAAATTAGGGACTAGTTCGGGTTTTAACCATTTTCTGAACTGGGGGCTCAGGTGAATTAACTTTTTCTGAGACAATCAAAGAGAGGTTTGATTCAGCACCTTTTTATTTATATTTTAATTTAAAACATTTTTTTATGGATGCATTTGAGGCCTGGCTGTAGTTAGTAACCACCGTGGACAATTAGCAACCGTGCATAACCCAACAATATGCACCCTCATAGGGCTAATGAAAGTTGATCTCAAGGTTCCAACCAGCCACTTCTGGAAAAGTAATGAGGGTTTCTTCATCATCTTTCATCAGCAAATTTCTCACCAATTTTGACGAGGAATTTTCCTAAAAATTCATCACACTCACACTGAATCAAGGCACTTGTGAACGATATTTTGAACTGTCTTCACCAGGTAAAAATATGAGAAAAACTGTTGAAAAAATTTTCGCATAGTAGGAGGACTTTTACCCTGGACATGCTGGACGTTAGTCGCAATGCAATGTAGACGTCTTCCAACCTGGGCTAGGCTTAACCTAACAACCCCCAGAAAGTGACAACATGTCCTACAGAGTGAAATTTAGGTGAGAGAATTTCGACGCGTTTATTTAGAAAACGCTTAGGTTTTTCAGATAATCTCATAGGTTTGTGCACGAGCACGACGGGGGCATCAAGTGTTTGAACTCTTTCCATTTTGTCCAGAAACTGGGCAGCTAGTGGTGTATGCAATTCACTTGTCGAACAACGACACGTTGCAAAAAGTGGCACGTCAATTCTACCCCACAAAAGCGCCCTAACTGCACTTCATTTGAAGCAACCTTTACTCTAAAATGTATAATGTACCGGTAGAGCAAATAACTCACTTGGAAAGGTGAGATTCTCCTGCCGAAAGACTGGAGGTAGGGTACAGTGACAAATCTCCTCTAGCGTCGTTCGTTTGCCTGACACGTATGAATCATTACTCCAATGGCTAATCAGGACCTTAACTCGAGTTACAATCGAGAACCGGTTTATGTTGATCTGCCATTCCTTTAATTGAAGCCTTAAAATCATTTTTAAAAAAGAATTTTAAAATAGTAGGATCTAAAATTCAAAATTAAAGACACTTTCATTCATTCTCTAAGTGAAAACCTTCTGTTTCTCTTAGAATACGAAGAATGGTGAATGTTGTAGAGCTGTAGACTTGGTTTGACTACCATACAATTGCAAAAATTGCATATTCATTATAAGTGTAGAAAATTGAGCCACGTTTACCAATCACAAGCTACCAAATGTTAATATTAATATCACAATTGACGAATCAGAGGGCGTTTGGTCTCTGGGAAACAGAAGACAAAGGGGGAAGTAGATGGTGGCGGGAGATTGAGACGATCTCTTTGTGAAGGGGAGCAAAACAGAGAAACCCCCTTGGCACTACACGAGCTATTTTTACAACGTAAATACAATTACCGCGGATACACACAAAAAAGCACGTGGGTCCAGGACGATGTACACAACGCACGCCTTCGGTGCCAAGGTTAGGGGCTTGCCCTCCTTACGCAGGGAATCCCCAACATTTTGAGGTCTGGAAGTCGTAAAGAGGAATATTTTTTGATCTGCAGAGCAAATGTAGGATATACTCTTGCTACTCCGAAAGGATTTATTCTGTTTGGATGCTTGGTGGCGAAGATCGAAGGGGTATTCCGAGGAATCACTTCGGGAGATATTGCACGGTGAGTCGACCCTGTGTACATGTACATGCAGTCATCATCCCACTCACGGATCTATACGCGCGTGCTTATCTGTGGATCATTATGCATTTTTATTTCATCGTGTGTCCTACAAGAGTTTCATCTTGCCCTCTGTAAGCGAAGAAGGAAAAACCCAATATTTTTCTATGCAGCAAGACTACCTTTGAGATACAATAACAACAAAGAAACCACGGGGAAATTTGTTGATTTTTTTTTCATATCTACTTTGGCAACAGTAACGCTGAGTGGAATTACTGTAGCGGCTGATATTTTAAACAATGGACATATGGATTGGAGCAAAAAAAAAAGAGCTTACTGGAAAATATTGGAATTAAATGCCACGAAACGAGGTGACAAAATGCTGCAACGGAATGCTTCAATGCTCCTAGCCCCTCACGGAATGTAGTGTTTCCTGCAGGAATTCTGTGCAATGAAATAACATTAATGGGATGCAGACTCGGCTTTTGTTCTAGGGAACAATAGATTGTGCCTCCTTGCCAGAAAACAATCGAGCATGAAATGCAAAATTCCAAGCACGGCGGTGTTTCCGAAAAAAAATCCCCAGATGAAACTGTGGCTCCGGGAAATATTACCATGTCAACGGTATAGACATTTTACCGAAAGACCATCTCTTGAGCACTCTGATTTGGATATACATGTACAAAGACATGTGCCTCATACATTGAAACAATACAGTCCTTGAATGAAAGTGGCCGTTTGCTTTAAAATCACACTCTTTATACTTCGGAATATTTGATTTGAAATTATTCTGTCATCAGTGGAGATGGAAGCCTCGATAAAACTATCTGAATTTAAGGGCCAGATTTGCATAACAATGCAAGATGATAACCAAACAATGAAACATAACATCAATTCAAGACAAATACCTGAACACTGAGGATGCCTCACTTCTGACGAGTAATAAGAACGCGTCATTACTGCATCAGTATTTCTTCAATTTGAAGAATCTGTAGAATCCCATCTCGATAAATAATCCTGCTACATTTTGCTTAAGCGGATAAACAAGACTTGGAAAAACTAATTATATATTGTTTCATATCTATTTCGCTCTATAGAAACCACCAGTACCGCCGACGTGCAAAAAAAGGAAAAGGAAAAAATGGTATTCATTTATTGTCAATAAACTGTGCGAACGAATTTTTAAGCAGACAAGGAAGCCGAATATTCGATTGTACTTCCTCTTTTGTACGAGAGTTCAATTTTCATCGACAGTCCTGGAAACCGAACGTCATGGGAATCCCAGAGAATGTTGAAAAGTCACAAAAGTGCTCTTAAAGAGGGAGAGAAAACATAATTGATGGTATTAGAAAGGATTGGAATTGCCGAACATGTGATCCCAAGCTTCAGAGGCCATGGCAACTAGATTTCTTAATGAACGTGTAGAGCGTGATTCATTGTATTCAACGCTCTTTGTTCACTTCCGGGTGAACCACCACGAGTGGCCTAAGAACAAAAGTGGAATATGGAATAAAAACAGCTACTCACTGAACGACCAGCAAGTACTCAGATCAGGTGAGTGTTTTCTAGTAACGCTGTTCAATTTTCTTTCAGGTTCTCTCTAGTTTCTGAACAAAAGATAATAATAATTATTGTAAAAGGAAACAACAAGCTTGGACGGTTTCACCACGCGTGCGCCGGGTCTATTGTTATCGGATTTTAGGCGCCAACTTTTGCACTTGTAATTCTGCAGACTGGTTGCATGGATTGTTCTTTGAGTCTGACGTGCATTGCCTGCCTGCTTTGGAAGTAGCTTGACTTCCGTCATGTTGCCCCTCGGCTCCTTTTTTTGGCCGGGATTGTCTGTTTAAATCAGTGTTTCCCGTTCTCGGGAATTCTTGGTTTCCCTTTTCTTTGTTTTTGGTAAGGAGGCGTATCCTTTGTCCAGCGCCTGGTATCTCATCCTGCAGCGTGTGTAGACTGCATATTGTGTGTCGTCTGCTCGGTCAATATATTTTTTTTCACGAGAGAAAAACTGCAATTTTTTTCCATCGGGGCTTTAATAGGAGGTTAGGGAAAAGCTGGTCACGAAAAAGTAATTTTTGATTATAATTGATAATTAATTGATTATAATAGAATTGATTATACAAAGAATTGGAAATTTCAAGGATCCAAAATAATTGTATCAGTTGATTACGTACGCGCTTTCGTTCCGTGGCCCGCCGCAGCCGTTAACCTCCATTGTAGTCTGCGCTTGGCGGAGCTGGACAGATGCGAATCGTCTGAAACAAAACAAAAGGGCCCTCCCGGCCCCAGCCAACCATAATAGCCCTGATTTTTTTTCCTTTTTAGCGCCAAACAAGTTCATTGTTCCTTTTGTGCAATATAGCGTGACGAGGTCCCAGATATTGAGCAGACAAAGATTATGTTATTTTTTATGATTTGCAAACATGGTGTAAACTAGGTTGGCCTTTTGTTTTGATTTGAAGGACCTCTGGTTAAGTCCCCATTGCATTTTGCCTTTTCATTATTAATTCATACAAAATCTCATCAAAATAGGCCCATATATGTTTCTCCCAGCCGAATCGAAACATTACTTTTCAATTCCAGTAAAACAACATCTCTTCTTTTTCAAGATTTTGTTTACAGAAAATCAAATGATAAATCAGTTTAAAATCGCTGCAAATAGATTATTATTATTTGAGATATCCTATTTCATTTTGAAAACTGAGCTGCAGTTTTGTTTTGCTTTTGCTCTATCAATTCCAATTTCAGTCTCAATGAACGGTATCATACAAAAACACACTCTTTACCTATTGCTCTGTTCTTTACCTATTGCTCTGTTCTTTACCTATTGCTCTGTTCTTTACCTATTGCTCTGTTCTTTTTATCTCGTGAGAAAATATCGCTTCCAGACTGGGTCTGGACTGAACTAATATTGAAATTTGTTTTGAGTTAGCTGAACTGTAAAAAAATCGAATGAGTATACCGAAACAGAACCCCAGATCAATCTCACTGCAACACAAGTTTCTAAAAAGGCGAAAACGAAGCAACCGCACAAAATCATAAACGCCAAGAATTCTGAACAGTATGTGCCATTTCTCCCTGATAGTTTTGGCAGTATAAGATTTCAGCTTTTCTTCCTTTTTTCCAGACGGACGGTTTTATGTATTTTTCAATCACAGTTATTACTCTACAAGTTTCTTTTTGAATTTTGGACTTTAAACTTTTTAAAAGTAGTGCTTATATTAAAATTTTCCTTTGTTTTGTGTATGTGTTTTATTTTCACAATTCGCAAGCTCCAGGAGTGGGGGTTTTGCACGCTTACAATTTTTTTTACCATTGGCGTTTTAGACGGAAAGGCAGACCAGTTTACTGTGCTCTTCGAAATAATGGTAGAGGTTGTCCCTAAATCACTTTAAAGGTTGCTTCAGGGATGTGTTTCGGTCATTTCAAAAACCACATCCCCACTTATTTGGCGGGGCAGATCGGGCAGAGAAAAACAACTGACAGGCGCATTAGCAGTTGTCAAAGCAATTTGTTTCACCACTGACTAAAGTGTCCTTGGAATAAAGTGCAAATAGAAATTTTCAAAACTGAACGAATAAGATAATTCTTCATACATCAAAGGCTCATGAAAGTTTCCTGCATATATAATTTAGGAGAAAAGAAATAGGTAACACGAAAGAAAGCTTCTTCTAGCTCTACCCCCAACAACCAACCCCCCCCAAAAAAGAAAGAAAAGAAACAAAAGAAATACAATCTAGGGAGGGTTAATTTACTTTTTAGCTTTATAGTTGAAACACACTGTAGTATTACTTTGTTATAGGTTATTGTTTCTCATCAGAATTAAAATTGTTCCGCAATCTGTTTCCTGTTCAGTTGACCTAAGCTTTTTAACAAAAAAGAGAAACCCAAACGTGCGCGCAATACAAAATGTCACAACGGACAGTTATCTTTCCTGACTCACGAATCGCCTACCACGTTTCTGTGACCCGATAATTACCATGATGACTTTTCTTGTATTTAATTGGTATAACCTTGTTTTTTATTTTTGAGGAAAGAAATTGAACCAATAATTACTCAGTGTTGTTGTCCCGAACGACTTTCGACTGCAGACTCACTGGGTTAGTTTGAGTAGGAGTTTATATCTATTTATTGTTATTTTATTAAATTAAAACATTACATCCGCGTATGTGCATCTCAGAAAATCGATATTGTGTAGGTCCAATGTCTGTATGCAAAAATCAAAGTTAAAAATAGACCTTCGATGAATTAGTTCTAGACTGGGTTTTGTTCTACACTATTGGATCTACTGAGAGTCGGCCAATATCTTGAGCAAAACTGTCATTGTGGAATGAAAACAGACATTATTTCAAAACATATTCATGTACATAACCTAATGATTTCATTCTGTGTTTACAAACTTTTGCCAATTTTCCCTTTGATCCTTTCTGATATTTTAATCTCCACTGAAAGCAGTAGAACAAGACTGTCATTTCTTTTAGTGCGGTGTAAGTCTCGGCGATTTTATTGTGTTTTGTTTTCCAAGAACGAAAGCAACTATGTACATGTATTTTACCTATACACTTTCTGGGAAACAAAACTTTGGAACCATTCTGCACAACTATATGAAAAAACTGTTTTCATCAAGGGGGAAAGTCAACAATTGTTAAATTTTTAGCATAAATAAAATTCAAACAAGAAGTTGTGGGGCGTTACTTGATGATATGACAGTAAAATTGTTTCAAAGCCTTTTGCAAACGTCGCTCCCCTATTTTGATGGTCATCCCCAGGTTTCTTATTGTAATGAATATATCGGAAACCAGGCAGTTGTTTTGATACCCACAGAAATGTTTAATTTGGTTTTAATTTTTTTTGGTTTTTATTTTTACAGAGGAAAACAGACTCCACAGGACTGATTTCCTGGGTATTTGTCTCTCCATATGTCCAAAATCAAATGGCAATTTTCTGGATTCAGTGGTGAAACTTCAATTAACCTCCTCTAGTTGCATCTCAAAATTAAAAAAAAAGATAAAGCAAACCATGGGTGGGTATATACCAAATTGAGGGGAGAACAATTACCTGGCTTTTAAAAACGAAAACTGTGGAATGACTTTGCTTTGGTGACATGGTTGAGTTAAAAATCGATGCTAAGTTTAAGTTGACAGAGGAAACTTGTTGCATGCAAATTATCGCAACCGTAAAGATCGCTTTACTGTAGACGTAGGCCGTTTTAGTGAAATACCGCCCTCTAGCAGATTTGCTTTCGGCTTAGTAAATTGAGGGCGCTGCGCGCTGCACCAGTTTTTAGTTGAACATTCCCTTTTTATGCCCAACTTAACCAATCATTTTGAGGGCGCTGCATAGCAACCGTGCAATTTTCAGTACACTTGTTTGCGGAACCGTCACGAGGAAAACCCAAGCAGACGAACCGAACTTATTTCGCGCCTTTTGAGTTTTAAAAGCAAAGGTGAGTTGTTGTTTTTTAGGAGATACAAATTCTCATTGACTTTGGGTCTGAATATGGCACTGTTAAATGCAGTAATGTAGAACGAGTCACGCAGAACAGTCGTTCAAAACTTGAACTTGAATTCTACTTTCTAGGCCCTATCCAGTGATTCAATTTGCGCGCCATGTGCGTGTCACTTTGCCAGCACACTTGTCATGCTTTTTCTCTCTCCAAGTGTATGACTATGAGGTCCGTAGTCAGATGGTCTGGTGTACCACCATATCTATTGACCCTCTGTGGAGTTTTGAAGTGAAATAAGGATGTTATGCCCCAACTATGATAGCATAAGTCCCAACTATAGTTGGGACAGTCCCAACTGTAGTGCTGCAGTTGGGATGGCCCAACTATTGTTAAGCAGTGTCTGTGGAAAACGTCTCAACATTATCCAAGTCAATGTGTCTCACACTTGTAAAATGTGGCACTTCATCTGTTCATCTAGCCCTATGACCAATGACATAACATTTGTAAACAAAACTGATCCAAAAGGCCCCATTCTCTTGTGTTCTGTTAAAGGTACAAGACCTGTCAAGAGTGGAGTGAGGGAGAGGGGAAGGGTGAAACCCCCAATCAAAAAAGGAGTCGTGGGCACTGACCCCCTATTCCCCACAGTTTTGCTGGTGGTGATATATGTACGTGTATTCTCTTTGGCATCAGACTGTCTGGATAATTTGCAGTATGCGCACATATACACGTATGAGCTCATCATCGTGCACGCTGCTCAGCCTGTGTGTGCTTGTCCATTGTCATTTAGCATTGCTCAGTTGCTCCTCAGAGAGAAGCAATAGAGGACATAGGTCCACATCGCAAGGACAAGAGAGAACGTCTGTGGGGATTTCACATTTTGTGCATAAAAATGGTCAGGGTACATGTCGAAGACACGTTCCCCTCTGACGCCACTCTTTGACACCATGTCCTTTATTAATAATGTGAAACTTTCATTGAGGCATTGATGAAAAAAATGCTCCATTGAATATTGAATGGAGACATCAGACTGGGCCGGTGAAATACCAGGATTCTGAGTGTGCATTTGTTCCTCTTTCGAAGATTTTCATTTGCTCAAGAG